ACTATTTATAACAGTCAAGTTATGGAAACAAAAGGCCATTAAGAAGATGTGAGATAAGTAGGTAGATAGATAGATACATACATACATACATAGATGTAGATATAGATCTCCATAATGGAATACCACTCAGCTACAAAAAAATGAACTCTTGCCATTTGTGACAAAATAGATGGAACTGGGGACCAAAGTACTAAGTAATAATTTTCATAAGAAGAAAGACAAACACTGGGCCTCCCCTGGTGGTGCAGCGATTGAGCACTGGGCTGCAAAGCTGCCCGCAGTGCAGCCTCTGCAGCTCCGGCTCGATCCCTGGCTGCTGGCGAGGGTCCCACATGGCACGGCAAACCTCTTCTGCTGTGCCCACTGCTCCTCTTAGCAGTGTATTTCGTCAGTCTGCCTGTTCTGTTCCCTGCTCTGGCTCTGGTGAATTCTCTCACCCTCCCGCGCTTCTGACTGTACCCAGTGCTTATATAAACAAATAAATCTTAAAAAAGAAAAAGAAAGACAAACACTGCATTATTTCACTCATATGAGGACTGTAGAGGGGAAAAAACAAAGGAACTAACAAAACTAAACTAAAACAATCCCCTGAAATATGACTGTAGGGTTGGGGCTCCTAGAGGGCGAAGAAGGTTTAGGAACAAAGTGGAGAGAGGGTCCCGTAGTGCATAATGCAGGACTGTGGGTGCTTTTATGGTTGGATTGGTGTGGCAACATGTATCTGAGGTGGTGTGAACCTATTCCCCTACATCACATCAGTGTTGTAAACCAATGTTACCTCAATAAAGGGAAAAAATAAAGGAAATATGACTGCAGAGTTGCAGCTACTAGAAGGCGTTGAGAACAAAGCAGAGGGGAGGCCCAATGGCCTACAGTAAAGGGACATGGGGCTTTGGTGGTGGGTGTGTTTGGTAATAAACATCCAAAGATGTGTGACCTATTCCCCAAATCATATAAAATGTCGTAAACAAATGTTCTCTAAATAATAAGATAAATAAATAAAAGACTAGCTAAATATTTTTTATTTAGAGTATTTTAAAATACATTCATCTGGGCCTCCCTGGTGGCGCAGTGGTTGAGCGCTGGGCTACAAAGCTGCCCACAGCCTCTGAAGTGACCGTTCGATCCTCGGCTGCTGGGGAGGGTCCACATGGCACATGGACCTCTCCTGTCTCTCCCACTGCTCCCCTCAGCAGTGTACTTCGTCAGTCTGCCTGCTCTGCTCCCTGCTCTGGCTTTGGTGAATTCTCTCACCCTCCCACGCTTCTGACTATACTCAGTGCTTGTATAAATAAATAAATAAATCTTAAAAAAAATACATTCATCATCTGACTGGGTCAAGAAGATGTGGTACATATACACAATGGAATATTACTCAGCAATCAAAAAAGATAAACTCATACCATTTGCAGCTGGATGGAGCTGGAAGGGATCATGCTCAGCAAAATAAGCCAGAAAGAAAAAGAAAAATACCAAATGGTCTCACTCATAGCAGGAATTTAGAAAACCTATATAAGGGACCAGGAAAAAGACTAATTATAATAAAGTAAAAATCAAAATCAACAAGTAACTATAAACCAGAGACACACTGTGGGGGAGGAAGGGGATAGGGATTAGGGTCAAAATAAGGGGGTGGGAATTGTATGGGGACTATAACCAAGATGAAATTTTTGCATAAATTGTGCAAAAATGAAAAATGATGTAAAAATTATATAAAATAAAATAAATAAAAATTCAGCATCACTTTTAATAAGGGACATGCAGGTCAAAACCACACTGAGATACACTAGTGAGAATGGCACATATTAAAGACCTGCAGCAACAAGTGCTAGAGAAGATGCAGAGGAAGAAGAACACTATTACACTTTTAGTGGGATGTCAACTCAAACGTGATTTGGATTTACTTTTAAAAAGCAACAATGGATACCAAGTGGTTTCACTTTTAGGAGGAATATAGAGGACCCAAATAAGGGACCAGCAAAAAAAAAAAAAAAGAAGAAGAAGAAGTATAGTAAAGTAAATATCAATATCAACAGGAAACTATAAACCAGAGACATTCTACATGGATTCTACATGGTGGGGAGGGGGAGTAGGATCAAAACAGGGGTGGGAAGAGCACAAGGAACTATGGTGATGGTACTTGGGTGAATTGGTGGTGGGAATTTCACAAGGACTACAACTAAGATGAGAAAGCATACATTGTACAAAATTGAAGAAGGATATAAAAAATATATAAAATTTAAAAAATAGCTAACAATGGAAACACCATGTGAGCTAAAATCCCACATTTGGGCATCTAACCAAAAAAACATGAACCCATCCATTCAATGAATCATATGCTCTATAATGTTTATCCAGCATTATTTGCAGTAACTAGGACATGGAAACAACCTAAGTGGTCACTGATAGGGGATTGGGTCAAGAAGATGTAGTATAGCCACACCATGGAATACTATTCAGCCTCAGGAAAGATTTAATATTTCCATTTACAGCGAAATGGAAGCATTTCAAGGGAATTGTGTGTAGTAAAGAAAGTCAGAATGTCAGACAATAGTGCATATTTATACAAAAGATGATTCAACAGAGCAAATAAAAAAAAAACGCAGATACTCAGAAATGAAGTGAAATTTCTGAGGTTCAGAGAGAGGTGGGTGGGAGAAAGTATCCAAGGGGTATTAAAGGATGGGGAGGGGGAATATTACATTACAGTTCTTTAAAAAAATTTCAAAACACATTCATGAAAAGTTGGTCAACATCACTAATTACCAGGTAAATGCAAATTAAAACCACAATAAAATATCACATCTGTAAGAATGGCTATTATGAAAATATAGGAGATGACAAATTATGGCAAGAACATAAAGAAAAAGTAATTCTGGAATGTTTGGGGGTGATAGTATAAATGGGTACTGCCACACATATTATTTTACTAAATTAAAATTTTTACTCTTCTTAGACTGTTTGTGTCCCAGTTCTCCACCTTTCTCTGTACTTATGTCTTTGAATATGTGACAACACAACAAACCCATCAGGATATGGAATTTGCTTCTCCACTTTAGAATGTGGACTGGATTAGTTTTTGTCTTATTCGACCCAGGACTTTGGAGAAAGTGATGGTGTAGCCTAAGAAGATGTGTGCATTTCTGCAACTGTCCCTTGGAACTCTGCCTCAGAAAGATGGATAAATGCAAGCAGGTCTGCCAAAGGAAAACAGGATACAAGGAGCAGAGAACACTAGTCCCAGTCTAGGCAATGCTAGATCAGCCTGCAGCTGATGAGCCCCCACTACATTAGCATGTCCAGTGAAGATCACCAGACTTCCCCTGATGACCCACAGCTGACGAAAACTCATGAGAATCCAAACAGAGACCAAAAAAACTCACCACTATATAAGTCAATTTTTAATAAAGACATTATATCAAATCATTTGCTTTCAGAATGGCTTTTTATGCAATCATAGCTCTCTGATACAATAAAGCAAACAGACTTGAGGACAATTATTACAATCTGTTGCTTCTTATTTTTGGCATTTGTTCTAATACTTAGAGACAACATTCATGACCATCCTGTTATTCAAGCTTATTTCAGAGAATCATATAAAAAATTCACAACATTGAGGGTCCTTTCCAATAACCAGGAGTGCTTAGGATATTGTGTTCATGGAGAAAAAAATGGTGATCGTGACTCATGTGACTAAACAGGAGTTCAAGTTCTCTTGTGAGTCATCCTTTCATCATAAACATTGATGAGATTCTTGAACATGAAGGAGATACATAATGGATGACATATATGTAACATCCATTCACTGCCCCTTTAGTTGTGATGACAATATTTAGAAAGGGGAAGCTATTTTACTTAGAGTAATGGAAGATTTCATATATGTTAGTGGTATTGGAAGCTTCCCAGCAGAAACAGGAAAATAATCCAATAAAAACACAAATAATACACCTTCAGCTCCCACATCCCAACATATAAAGCCTCTCAAAAATGAACATTAAACCTTACTTCAATGAGTAGATGTACAATAATAAACATTTTTCATGGTATAGCAATGTATAAAGTTTTGATTCATTGCATTGAGACATCTATGACTCTAATCCACATGAAGTCAATCTTTTTAAATTTGTGATTCCTGGTAGACTTCACTTGGAGACATGTATTTGATAATGTTATTTGCCAATTACTATGTAGGCATTGCAAATAGAGCTGAAGAAGAGAATAGTATCTTAATGAGTAGATTAACAATTCTCCTTATAAAACATACAATATGTTAAAGTTTACAATCTCAGGAAGAGCAGTAAAGGAGTACAAAAGAATAATGTACACAAAAGTGAAATAACACTCTCAGATTGTCCTGTTATAAATATACAAGTAACCATGGTTACCAAATGTAGTTTTTGTAACGCATAACTATGATTTTAGTAAAATAAGGGAAAAATTACTTGGTATCACATGTTACTCAAGAAAAAAATCATCCTTATGAATTTTATGCAGATGCATAAAATTTGGGAATTCCCAAATTTTTCAGAAGCAAGATTGAGAATTCATTTGAGGGGCCTCCCTGGTGGTGCATGGGGTTACACATCAGCACTATGAAGCTATCTGCAACTATTGCAGCATGAGTTCAATCCCCGGCTGGGAAGCTGACCCACATGGCACAGCAGACCTCTCCTATCTCACCCACTGCTCCCCTCAGCAGTGTATTTCAGTCAACCCACCTGTTTTGCTCCCCACTCAGTCTCTGGTGATCCTCTCACCCCCCCGCCCCCTGCACCTCGAGCCTGTACCTCAGTTTTTGTATGCAAAAATAAATAAATCTTTTGAAAAGAAAGAATACATTTGAGTAAGAAAGAAAATAATAAAGGGAAAAACTATTGATATCAGAGATATTGCAAGACATGATAAAGTGAGTTATACATAAACTGGATAGAGACAGACAAGAATTACTATTTCTGGCTCCGAGGTTTTGAGCCATGCAATCGCTGGCACTTCTTCACCTTTTAAGGTGCTTTTCCAAAGAGTCTTTTCAGAGCCCCCTTTATGTCTTTGTTCCTCAGACTATAGATGAAGGGGTTCAGCATGGGTGTGACCACGGTGTACATCACTGAGGGTATTGCACTCGAGTATGCATTTTGGGAAGCAGCAGAGATAAGGTACACTCCTAGGAGTGTACAATAAAATAAGGAGACAACTGAGAGGTGAGAAGCACAAGTGGAAAATGCTTTATACTTCCCTTTAGCTGATGAGATTTTTCGTATGGAGGAAACTATCTTAGAATAAGAATATAGGATTCCAGTAAGGGGCCCCCCAGCCAGGAGCACAGCTGCACAATACATCACCAGGTTATTTAGAAAGGTGTCAGAACAGGCAAGTTGGACTACCTGCTTGAGTTCACAGAAAAAATGAGGAATTTCCAAGTCCGTGCAAAAAGACAACCGCAATACCATTAAGCTTTGTACCAAAGAGTGCAGGTGACCGATGATCCAGGAGACGAGAACCAGCAGCCCACACAGCCGGGGGTTCATGATGACCGTGTAGTGCAGCGGGTGGCAGATGGCCACAAAGCGGTCATAGGCCATCACGGTCAGGAGGAAGTCATCCAACCCTGTAAAGAGTATGAAAAAATACATCTGGGTGATGCAGCCGTCATAGGTTATGACTTTGCTCTGTGTCTGGATGTTCTGCAGCATCTTGGGGATGATGGTGGAGGTGAAACAGATGTCTACAAACGACAGGTTGGAGAGGAAGAAGTACATGGGTGTGTGGAGGCGGGAGTCTGAGCTGACGGCCACAATGAGAAGCAGGTTTCCCAACACAGTGGTGAGGTACATGGAGAAGAAAAGCCCAAATATGTGGGGCTGCAATTTGGGTTCCTCTGAAAGTCCCAAAAGAAGAAATCCTGTAACTCTTGTGACATTCACTGGATCCATGCAGTGGAACTGACTACCAGGAAAAAGAAAAAGAACATGGTTAATACTTATCTTTTTGTTCTCTGCAGGACTATGTTGGTGTGCATTTACTGCATCATTTTGATGACATCTTCTATTTCCATGAGGTTTTTATATAACCTGTGAGCAGGAGCAGAAAGATGTGAGAAAATGGAGATGACGTTTGGACCTCCCACACTGTCACTCCCTTTCTGTTTTCCATTAGTTGGTGAGGCTGAAGGGTGGAGTTTTAAGATGATTCATTAAAGGCCGAGACATTAATAACCAATAGCAAGAAGAAAACTGAAAAACCGCCACTGCTTGCTCATGCTTCCAAAGGATGGGTAGACTTCATTTAAAATGAAGGCCCTTTGTTCCTCCCCCAAACCTTTTCAATCAGGAAAATCTAGGCTCTGATCAGCTTCTCTTAAAAAGCATCTCTTCTCTTTCTTATCAAAAAACCTACCAAACCTGACAGCATTGGAAGAACTTGCAGACAAATACTGTGGATTTGTACGATCCAAATTATTATCTTCTGCCTTGAAATCCTCTGCTGGGAAAGCAGTCCTAGCACTTAGTTTCTGGACTCTGGTGCAAGTTTAGTCCCTAATACCAGCAGGGGGATTTGGTTATCAGCAAACTCTTCATCATAGTTCCCTTAGCAAGAGGACAGCCCATCCTCTTACTCCCCTTTTATCACCAAGCGTGCATTTGGCATCAATTCCCTGTTGAGAGCTGCCAATGACCAACAATGCAAGTTTGGGAATGAGTTTTTATTTACTAAGCTGTGCACTAAAACATGCACAGAGTTGCCTAAAAAGCTCTTGTTCTTTCCATGCATTGATACAATTGATATTCTACAATCAAGAATTTAATTTTAATGTTTTGTGATGGATCTGGTACCCTTTAGAGGATCCCATCTACCATTTCTATGAATAAATATCTCCCATTCTTAGTTTTTCCCCTCAAAACTCAGGTATTCCACAGTTTTAATTATTTGAGGAATATAATTCGTGTACCAACAACCTTTCAACCATTGACTAGGGAATACGTATAAGATGCTGAAAAACAAATTCCTAAAGTGCATTTATGGGGACAGAATATAAGCAAATATAAAGTTATGTAATGTATCAGATGGTTTACAAGCCCTATGAAGAAAATGAAAGCAGGTACAAAGGAGAGAATGGATAGGAGATGCTATTCTTTTTTTTTTTTAAAGATTTATTTTATTTATTTATACAAGCACTGGGTACAGTCAGAAGTGCGGGAGGGTGAGAGAATTCACCAGTACCAGAGCGGGGAACAGAACAGGCAGACTGACGAAGCACACTGCTGAGGGGAGCAGCGGGCGGCAGGAGAGGTCTGTGTGCCATGTGGGACCCTCGTCTGGCGCCCGGGGATTGAACCAGCAATGAAGAGGCTGTGGGCAGCTTCGCAGCCCAGCGCTCAACCGCTGCACCACCAGGGAGGCCTAGGAGATGCTATTCTTTATGGAAGATCAGGGAGGACTGGCAAAAAAATGTAGCATTTGAACAGAGACTAAGAGGAGTGGGTCAGAGAGAGGAGCATAATGGGGATCATGTACCTCACTGGTGAACAGCCAGTGGAAAGCCTGATGGAAGGTGCTCGCTTCAGAAGTTCAAGTCATAAAAAGGAAATCAGCATGGCAAGAGGAACGTGCAAGGAGAGTGAGGAAAGGTGGTGTCGGAAAAGGTGGGGGGATGAGGTGACTTCCCTGCTGCTGTGAAACTTCAGGTCTCAGCTTGTTCCTTCTCCACTTCTACATACAATGGGTGCTATATTAATTTGTTTGCAAAGACCTCTGGTCGCTTGAAATGGACCCTCTCTTCCAATCTGCTTTAAATGAGTCCTTTAATCAGTATTATGTCACTTGGAATATAATGGAGAGGTTTCCCTGCTCCAAGGACTGCTGACACACCACCACGTGCACACACACTCACACATAGAGCAGACTGTGGCTCTTCGGACTGTTTTCCATGTCTTCCTCACTCCCAATGACCCTGATTAAACTAGGGGTGGATACAACTTAAACTGGTCAGATCAGATTATCTTTCCCCCAAAGAGAAAAGGAACCCACAAATTTCAGTTTGTAAACTTCCAGCAGACCAATAAACTTGTAGTTTCATTTTATTACTATGGTCATTTGATGCCCTGTATTTAAATAGATATAAAAACGTGTGTAGTGCACACAGACAGGGGAAGGGAGGGAGAGAAGGAAGGAGAAAAATTTGTAAGGGACATGAAGGGGGAAGTATCTAATCAATTCAAATTCTCAGAGACTGTAAGGAAGAAAAGCTTCATAGGTTCTGGCAACATTCCAATTCCCATTATATTCCCTTGATGCCCAAGAATAATAATAAAATAGCAAAGATTTAGTTAGCTAAAGCACAGAAATGCTGATATCTGCATGGTAGCAAACACCCTGCAAATTGATCACTCAAGAGAGAAAGGAGCAAAAGGAGATGTACAAACAAGAGATGTTGGCTTGTTGGGTATGAAACAGAGACCTTTTATTTCTGTGCCTTTCCCATAGTTATCTGATCAATTGGTTTTTATATGAATAAAGCCCCTTCTCCACTTTTCGTCAGAGACTTCTTTTCACTGTTATTCATGGAGTTTGGGGTTTGAGCTCTTTTTTGACAAGTTAAGTGGGAATACTCCAGTCCTACTTCTGTTCAATGTACAACATGCAAAGACTCCCCACACAATACTATATAAAAGCATGCACCCGCACGCGCATGCACACACACACACACACACACACACATACACACTCACACACACGGCAGCCCACCCTCCTTCTCTGAATAAGTACCTGGGTAGGATTGTCCCTGAGGATACTGTGCTATATACACATGTATTTCATTGTTCTCTGACCCCACCATGCAAGATCCACAAGTTCAGGGACTTCACCTGCTTTGTTCATTTTTATATTTCTTAAGGGAATGTAAATATATGGACACTTAAATTGAAACAAATTTAAGAAAATTTAACATTATGCAAAAAAAAAATGCAGGGAGAATGAATCCTGGTTAAATAGCAGGGTTTCAAGATATTTGTAACATACAAAACTGAATGAAGTGTCAAAAACTAATTGAAAAAACTAAAACAGCAATAATTCAACAATATAAACAAGGATTAGTGATTAAATTGGCAAAGATCTAGACATAAAATAATATAATAATGTTCCTACTATGGGCTGACACATAGCTGAGGATCAGTTATTTGTGGGGAGAATCAGGCATTAGGTTTCAATATATAGGGATATTCTGTATACAGTAAGGTTGTATTTAATGTTACTTGGAAAAGAATTGTTTAATAAATGGTGGCATACTGGCTTTGTACCTTGTGTGAAATGAAGTTGTTCCCCTCTCTCAAATGTCTTATAAAAACCTAGAAGGGTTACAAACTCAAAGTAAGAGCAACCAATACATTCTACATTAACACCTTGATAACTACATATAAACCTGTGAATGGGAAAACTATCTTCAATAAAACAAGAAACTCAAAAGTAAGTTAGACATTTTTAAATAAATAAAATTTAAAAATGTGGAGCCTCAGGGGTTAAGCACCACACTGTGAAGCAATCTGCAGCCTCTGCAGCATGAGTTCGATCCCCCAGCCGGCCAGGAAGCAACCCACATGGCGCAGCAGACCTCTCCTGTCTCACCCACTGTTCCCCTTGGCAGTGTATTTTGGTCAGTCTGCCTGTTCTGTTCACTGCTCTGTCTCTGGTGAGTCCTCTCACCCTCCTGCACATCTGGCCTATGCCCCAGTTCTTGTATAAATAAATAAATCTTAAAAAAAAAAGTTTATGGCCAAAAATACTTAACCAAAATTTATTAAGAAACATTAGTCAATAAAATCATTTGAAAGACATAACTGCAGGAAAACAGGCATATCATATATGGCCATATAAAAATAGACAAATTGGTGAACAAAGTTATGAATTTTGCTCAAACTTAATGTATAGTTCCCACAAACAAGTTAATTCTTTCATAGCCATTGGCCTGAGAAAAACTAAGAGCTGTTACATTGATTGGGGCTGGAACGCATTAATTTTTTGGCATAAATGTGAAGTTTTATATGGTTGGGGAAACAATCTGAAGACAGATATAAACTTAAAAAATACAGATATCCTTAACTCAGAGTTTCTCATTGTCAGCACAACTGATATTCTAGACCAGATCATTCTCTGTAATGGGGTCAGTACTGTGATTGTAGGAGGATTAGAGCATCCCTGGCCTCTCCCAATCACTCCCCAGTGTGACAGCCAAAATGTCTCTGGACACTGCTCAATGACTCCGATGGGACAAAACTGCCCACAGTTAAAAGCACAGGATGAATTTAGTAATCTCAACATATTTTTATAAGATTGATATAATAACAATAACAGTGAAATATCTGAAACACCATCAAAAGTGTGAGTAACACAGTCAAACTATGAAATGTAATACAATCACTAAAATAATAAATCAACATAATACTCGTTGATTAGAGGCGAGTCAGTAAGGTACTGTTGTGTGAGAAGGAAATAAAAGAAATCACGGAAGGAAGAGTCATGTGCTATGATTGCTTTGACAAAAAGTATTTTGTGGAAAATATACTAAATAAACATAGGCTTCTGAAAGGATAATGACCTCTGGAAAACACAAGTTTTAGTTATATTTCCCCAATGTAGGGGGAAAAAACGTGTAAATTAAAGTAATGGTTCAAGAAGTAATCGGAAATTTAATTAAATAATAAATGTTATTCTAACAATAGAAAAACTATAAAAAGCGAGTGTGCAAAATCATGCAGAGCCTCTGTGGTGTGCATAGGACTCTGTTCATGCACTTGTGTAAGGGTCTATCAATATGTACATGTTTCTGTGCTGTAATGGTGGGAGAACTATGGGGAACTACACCTGAACGGAGAAACCAAATATTAACATCCAAAAATTAACATCAGAAGAAAATAATCTAATTAATTAAAATTTTTAA